GCTCTGGTACGCCGGCTCTTACACACAGTGCTTGTCGGCCGTAAGCGTTACACTCTCCCCCGCTTAAATCGCCGTACCCTGCGAAGGGCTATCCCACCCCGCTTCTGACACCACTGTAACGCAACGGGGGCTCAGGCGGGCGCCCTTGCTGCATCTGGTCGGCCCCATCCCGACTGGAGGCTCGAACCCGGGACTTCCGCATCTCTCTGCAGCGACCTAGCCCCGTGAGCTAAAGAGAGATCTCTCCACAGCCCAGTAGCTGTGGTCCTGCTATCACAGGGAAGGGCGGTGACGTCACCCGCTCTGGTACGCCGGCTCTTACACGCAGTGCTTGTCGGCCGTAAGCGTTACAATATTTACTTAGTACAAAGTAAAAGTTTCATAGAAACAAGGGGACTAAACATCCTTAGAAACTGAGAAGAGGCAGTTGTCTCCCTATTATTCTTATTATTGCCTTTATGTTATAAGCACAGAATTAAAATTAAGTAATGTTATGTTAAGATTGCATCAAATCGTAAAATGCACTGCAATACCATGCATTGTGTACAGTTTTGGTCGTCGCAACATAGAAAACAAATTGCTGCTTTAGAATCAGTCCAGAGAAGACCCACTAGATACATTTCAGGATTTAAGGGAATATCCTACACTGACAAGCTGAAGGAACTGAACCTTTTTGGTCTTGAACAAAGACTATGAGGGGAGCTGACAAAAGTATTCAAAATTCTTAAAGGCAACAGAGTTAATTTCTTCAGAGACTTGAAGCAAAGGGCACAAGTGGTAACTTAAATGAAAGTTCTTTTAAAGCTCGGAACAGGAGGCATGCCTTTATCCGAAGGGTTGTTGGAGGATGGAACACGCTATCCCACTATGTTGTTCAAGTCAGTCCCTGGTTTTCTTTTTAAAGATTGGCTGGAGGAGATCCTAGGAATAATTCGGTGGTAACTATGGGGTAGATGGGCCAAATGGCATCCTCTCACTTGTAAACCTTTCATATGGTTTATGTCCTTGAGAGAAAGGCTTTTCAGCCCATGATACAAGCACCTATACTGGTGAACTACACCTTGCCAATAGTTTGTAGCACCAGTTAAAGTTAAATCTACTGATTTGTTGCTGATTGTATATACTGAATCAGCGCTATAAAGAAAAGTCATTTAGAAATAGTAAATCACCCTCCCCACTGCCAACACTACTGGAGGAGGTGGTAAGCAGCAGTGTTGGAGTGGCAGGGGTACCCCAACATCGCCCAAAAGGATGAAATCGCTCAAGAGGGAATATTCCCTCCTGCCAGTGGTATGCTCGACAACTGCTGTTTGGGGGGGAAAAAGTGATACTTGGTCAAAAAGGTTGATAATCACTCAGTGGATTTATGTGCACCAATAGGAAGTGGCTGATGTATTGCAAGACCGTATCCGAAACAAAAATGTTGCAAGACATTTAAACAAATCTTGTTCTAGCCATAGTGAAAGCATTTTGGTTATGTAAATAGTGTAGGTTGTTCTGTTAGAATGCATGTTTTGGAGAAGCTCTAGTGATGATTTTGGTCCAAAGAATTCAAGCTCTAAATACTAATTTTATCCTTTCAGGCAGGTAGCATTTCTTACATTTTGAACATACTTTGTTATATGGTTTTCAGTCACACAGGCCTAGCTTTCAGTTTCGGCTGGTTCGTATTTAAAGGGACCATTTGAGTTAATATGCTATTCAACACTGCGAAAAATAAGACTCCAGGATTCACACTTAAACATCTGTGGCTAGATTGAGATATGATCATTGTTTTTTATTTTAATCTGATCTGTGAAGTGGCCTGGCAAGCTGTTTCTTCTAATCCTTAAAATAGCTTTGCGTTTTCAAAATATACTTGAGTCCTTGTTATGCAATAGATCTATTTCTTGTCATATATTCGTGGGAGTGTTATAATGTTTAAATATTGATGTTTTTTATTTAATTTGGGTTTTCTTTTTGATTATAAATATCTAATATTTTAATAGAAATAAAATAGATGGCGGATGTTGGTTTGTTCTCTGTATTTGACACAGCTGAGTATCCTACATTAGTTTTCCTGCATTATTGCTCTGTATTTGCGATGACACCACAAGAGGATAACATTAGTGAGACTGGAATATCAAGTTCTGTCATGTGATCTGTCTTGTTAAAACTGATTTGGAGCAGTGTTTCCCAGTCTTTTTTCTTAAAAGCCCAGTTTGTTTGCTTTATAGAAGTTTTTGGAAAGAAATGGATACATATTAGCGTGTTAGACTGGTCTTGAACAATAAATATTTCATAGATGTTATTGAAGTCTGGAAACATGTTTGTTGTTTTGCAGTCTTTAATAACAATCAACACAAAACACTTATATAGTTAAAGATTAACAGAAAAAATACAAACAATGGTTATATTAACTAGAAGGGAGAGGAAGTATGCAAGAGTGGTTTATAAGATATCAGGAAAATTGGGTTTAAGAAAAAGAACACTTCCATTTTTCCACATAAGATAGAAAGGATTTATGTGTTTTTTAATATTTTGTACCGTAAACTTCAGTGTAAATGTTTTTTTTCTGTTTAATGGCATTGTGTAAGATTTGTAATTGTTAACAAATGCAGTATACTGCTCCCACTCAATTAAAATTGGGTATCTAACAACTGGATATTACTAAAAAAAACTGCAAAAGTAAAACTGCAGACCGTACAGATAAGGGAAGTGAAACCTACTATAGTTTACATCTGTCACGTACTGGACAGATGAGTGTGCTTTCTGACTAGTTTGTGCTTTGAGAAGTGCGAATGATGTCGAGTTTTTGAACTGGGTGAGCACATGTTAAGTCGAGATTGAAGAATGGGCGTCCGATCCACTTCTCCATCTGATGATTTGTGTAGTGGGGCTGCTGGCGCATAATTCCTGCCCTGTGTCACCTGCACTTCAGTGATAGATGAAGTGTGTCCCTCCTGTATGTGAAGTGCGTGGGGATCTTTTCGGATGGAAAGCACTAAACTAAGTACTAAAGCACTAAATGCAAACAATTCATTGTAATGTTCTTAAAGCCATGTTGGGCAATGAAAATGTAAACATTGTACTTTTTAATAGAGCCATTTTGCCGTGATGTTTTGGAATGCATAAATAAGTTATGTGGTATTTAACACCAAGTATCTTTTGTGAAGTTTCAGTCACATATCAATAAATATTATTGTGAAAGTCACAGAAGGCTGACTGAATGGTTTACAACCCTGTAAAGGGAAAGATTGTGATTAATATTGTGGGTCAAAAAAGCCTCTGTTTTCTTTATTCAGTACAGAGCCCCAGCAGTGTTAACCACTGCACCATCATGTCACTCCTCAAACAGCATATTAACGAGATTATTATATATATTAACATGAGCTGAAGTACATGCAAACCTGCATCTAAATAGTAACAAATGTTCAGAGTCATAAAACACTGTGTGACATGAAATGAAATAAGAGTAGTGATGTACATTCTGTTCTTTTTTATAAAAAGTATGCTCTGAAGGATATGTAAAGTGTTCTTAACTGTAAGTGCAGT